TAGCATTATTTTTATGTTCTTTTATTAGATTCAACCTTATGTCAAATTTCTTTGAGACCTGTGCCTTTTGTTTTCCACAAAAGGGGGAGAAATCTAAATAACGCAATATATACCATGTGCTCACATGCTAACAACTCTATCAAGGAAAAGACAAAAGTCAATGAACCCATGACCCTCACTTCAAACCCCATGTGACACATTCCACTAACAATAAAAAATTTAGAAAAGAAAAGATAGAGGAGCACTTCATCTCCTTCCTCCACTTCAAACTGAAACATCAATTGAACTCATTCGTGTCCAAGACATTAAGGTACGCAACCACACCCAAAACGCATTAGACATGGGTACGGCCCCGGAATTGTCGTTTTCCGATAACATAAGTCACAGTCTTTGTGAGACACTCCATAATTGAGGGGGTTTTCTAAAATTAACCGAATGTATAATTCTTAGAATATTTATGCACATCATCCATTCATCTATCATTTATGATGACATGTTAAAAAGAGATTAAGAAAAGCCTCTCTGACATTTGCGACTTGCCAGCAACAGCTAGCGACAAAAAGAGTACGCAGAATCAGAACATACCATTGATTTCCTACAATCCTACTTTTGTGATCTTTTTTTAACTTTTTCTCATTGTTTTTTGTTTGTTTCTCTCCTTTTCCTTCTCTACATTTTGCAATTTTCTTTTCCTTCCTAACCAATTGCATGGAAGACAAAGAGACTTGGTGTACGTATTTAGTTTTCCATTTTCCAATATATGTGCTTGGATTTTTCAGGCTAGACATCATGATGCATCATACAATGAGTTGTAACTTAATGACAATGTGAAATGTATAAGGGTTGAAATTTAGAAACCCCCCTCATTTATGGGGTGTCCCAAAAACCACCTCTCAATCATTTTAATCTGAGTATATCCTCACCAAGTTTATGGGTGTTGTAGATGACCTCCCTCAACATGAAAGTTTGAAGTAATCCCCAAGACTTTTCTTACTTAAGCCCCTAACTATTACCATTAATTCTAACGTGTCGTGTGATAAGCACATTGCTTAATAAACTAAAATACCTCTCAACCATAAGAACACTAGACTAGATTTTTGCAAGACGAGAGAAGAGAGATGGAAAAACATCATAAATGACTCGAGCTCTTTGTTTAATGGTTGGAAGGTTTTTTAAACTGAAATGAGTTTTTTTTCCAAATGGGCACTTCGATCATTTCACATTTTGAAGTTTTGCCTAAAAAATGAAAAGATCAATAGGGATGTAGGAATTTATCAGAGACCACATAGCTAAGAAGGCATTAAATCATATTTTCATAGTTGAGAGGGGGATTGTCGACAACATCCCTAAGGTTGAGGGTAGTTCCTCAGATATAAATTAGTCAAGGTTTTTGTGAGACACTCCCAAAATTAGTGTTTTAAGCGCCTTAGGCGCTCAGGCGAGGGGTTCTTGTAACTTAGCGCCTTGTGTATTGACAGGCAATGAAGGTTACTTAGGCGAACGCCTTTTGGCGCATAATGACCTCGCCTTGGCGCCTTATGACCTCGCTTTGGCAACTCAGGCACTCGCCTAAGGCATGTGATGCAATGTGCGATATGTTTGTCTCAGTTTCTAAATATTGAGGGTGTGAAAGGTGTCCAATAAAGTAAAGTTCGCTTTTGTTATTGAAGTTGTGTTTCTTTTTTTCTTAGTTGATTTTTATTTTATTTTTTGTTATAATGTACTTTATTACCTATATCATTCTGAGGACATACCACAATTTGAACCTTAAAGTTCAAAGTTTGTTGCTTAATTATGTGTTAGCAGTTACTAGTTACAATTATTATTCAATAGTGTTACGTACTACTTCATTTAGATGGTTTATAACCTATAAGATTTGTGACTTTGAAATTTTGGCTTTGATTAATTTGTCTTGTTGCTTTTTATTGATATTTGCATATTATTTGTAATGTTTATAAATTTTTTGAATATTTATCGCCTTGATTAACCAGGGCCTTTTTTGGCGTCTATTGCCTAGGGCAACATAAGACCTCATCACCTTGACCTCGCCATTTGTTTTTAAAACACTGCCCATAATTGAGGGGGTTTCTAACATTATCCCAATGTATGATTCTTACAATATCCATGCACATCATCTATCCATCCATCATATATAATGACATGTTTTAAAAAGAGACAAAAAGCAGCACCTCTCATATCTGCGACTTGCAAGCAACAACTATCGGCAAAAAGAGTGACAAAAATAGAACATGTCATGATTTCCTATTTTTGTGATCTTTTTTATTTACTTTTTTCTCTTCATTTTTTTGTTTGGCTCTTTCTTTCTTTCCTTCTCTACTTTTTGCAAATTTTTTTTTCTTGCTAACCACTAATATGAAAGACCAAGAGGCTTGGATGCACGTATTATATTTCCTTTTTTGTATATGTGCTTACATTTTTCAATGAGAGAACAATCTCATCAAATACATAACCAAGGTTATCGATAGCGGATAGCATCGCATAGCGGTGAGGCATCGCTAAGGTTATTTCGAGCTATTGCGACAAAATAACGATAAAAGCGTAAAGTCAAATAGTGATATAATTTAGATGTATAAATACTAAAAAAAATTAAAAAAATCTAAAAAATCTAAAAGTACATATTGGATGATTTAAAGAGATCCTAAACATTAAATAGACATATAACCTTCACGTAATACCGAAGATAACTGGAGGAGTCAAAAAATCGTTGTCTTCGAGAAGAAGAGCTTAGCGGTGACAGACATGTCCTAAGGGGAGCTCACGGTAAAGGAGGTGAGAGGAAGTATCAAGGTAGGTACCAGAGGTTATGAGAGATGACGGGAGTATGCTAAAAATCACAAGAGACTGTGGAATGCAATGGTCAAGGGTTGAGTTCAATTTTAAAAAAATAAGCCTCAAACTGTTTTTAAATAATAGTCAAAAAGCAAATTTCAAATGCAATCGCTCACTATTTACCGTTATGACACACTATTGGCCGCTTTTACGAACAGACATATTCCGCAATATATCACCGCTATTACGCGATAGCGTAGCGGGCGATAGCGTCACGGGAAGGGACTGCTAACGCTATTAGCGCCGCTATTGCGAGGCTATTTACCGCTATTTATAACAGTGTACATAACCTATGATTACAATGCAACATCCACGTTTAGTTTTGAGAATAATGCATAGAGTATTAAGTCAATTTAGTTTTTAGATTAAACTATGAATTTATTTATGCCTAGTTCTAGTTGATCCATAAACAACATTGTATTTTCTCATTTTCTACATTGTGCTACTCCACCAAATAGCATCTGGTAAGAGTCCCTGCCACTATAAATCCATTTGAAATGACCACTCATGCCTTGTATCAAGTGTAAAAGAGCTCCATATGCATAACTAGAGAATTGCACATGTTAACTTAAAAAAAACATAGTAACTATGGGTGCTAAAAAATATCTCTATCCGACGAAATATCTGTATTTGTATCTGTTAGGATACAGATATGGTTACTAAAATTTGTAACCGATAGGACATAATTACGGATATGGTTATGCTATGAAATATCTAGATCCATAGCCCCAATATTCAAATATATATTAGTCATATTGTGAAACAATTGTAATCCTTAGATTAATGGATTTGAGGTTAATTTTAATGGTCAAGACATCTAATCTTAGCTATTCAGATATATAACGAACATATTAATGAACTCTCGTGTATGATATGAAATGAACTATATTTTTTTCACATGCGTTTTGTATCCGCTTATATATCTGCATGCATATCCATATCCATCTTCAATTTTAACGGATATGGATATGAATTTTCTTTACTGAGACTTTTCTGTATCCGTATTTGTGATTGGTGACTGGTAAGTGGATACAGATATGGTAAATATCATGTCCGAGTCGTATCCGGACCATATGCACCTTAGTAGTAACACAATGCCTACATTCAAGAAAATCAGTCCTCACCGTTGCCCCAAAAAAACATCTTTTCTGGAGTTTTTTGCAGTCGTGTGATCCATTTTACAGTGTAACAAAATCATCTTTCAAACTAGTATCGAGCAAATAGCTCATATTTGCGTGTGCACTCTAAAACTGATTCCTAAGGGGATAAAAAAGCCTTAACATCCAACCATTTGTGACAAAATTTAATTACATAGAACGTTTCTATCAGATCTAAAAGATTCTGATCCAAAAGTATCAGCTTTCTTTCAACATTAACAGTTTCGTCTAATACAGTGAAAGAAACAACAGACTACCACAGTACGAAAAGACACTAATCCTAATTTCAAACCCTCAGAAGTCGCATCACGAATTCCTAAATACCAATGAAAATGCACAATAGCTCCAAGAAATTACTACCGTGAATGGTGCTCAGAGTTAGGGTTAGGGCTTGGATTAAAAGAACGTACCTTGGGAACCCCAGAGCTAGGATTGGAGGCCATGAGAGAGAGATCGAAGAAATTCTAGGGCTTTTTTCCCGAGATTTGACTGGATTTCTTTTCCCTCTGCTGAAACTGAAAGTTGATAGAAAATTAAAAGGTAGCCAAATGGAGTACAGGAGTAAAGTAATCGATTTTAATGATAACAATATCTCGTGGGTTTTCTACGTACGGGCCCTCCGTATGCGAGTTTTATGTTTTAAATGGAGGAAAATCGTAACTCAAGCCCCTCTTTATATTTTGAATGAGCACCATCCTTCATATTTTCCAATTAGTCCCCAAGTTCTTTATGTCTTCTGAAATTAATCCCCAAATTTTCACATATTGGACTAGTCCTTCAAATGTTTTTAAGAATTTTGAAAACAGTCTCCAAATATTCAGCATGGTGCTAATTATGGGAGCTAATTTCTAAACAGTTAAACAAATTGAGAGATTAATTTTAAATTTTGAAGATTTGGGAGACTAATGCGGAAGTATGAAAAGATTTGGGAGACTAACATTGAAAACCCCTTTTAAACTAGGTATTCGTATTAAAAGCAAAAAAAATTTCATATGAATACTTGATTTATACGTGTTTTAGAGGGAGATTTATATGTAATTTAAGACTCATTAAAGTTTTAAATGCTTAATTTTGAATTTTTCTTATTCTTTTACCTATTCTAATATAAAAAAAGAAATACTATAAAAGAGGAGAAATAATTTAAAAACTCATTGAAAGCTTTTTTTCCCCCTTTTTATGGAACATTAAAAGCTATCGTTGATACCATATAATTTTTTACTTGTTACACTTAATTACCACAAGTTATATTTTAGTAAAAAAAATACCATAAAATTTCCACCATTTAAATCTAACTAACACCCAAAACTTTTACATAAAAAGACAAAAATATCCTTCCCCTAAATTAAACCTCTCAAGTCTCAACAGCACTTTCTTAGTCTGAGCCAAGGCCGATTTCTCTAGAAGCACCGTACTCCCCACCGGTGCTAGCGGACGAAAGGGTAGATTCTCACAACGCAAACATCTTTAATGATTATATTATATAAATTATTGAAATTATGTTTGCATTGTGAGAAAATGATCCATTCTCTATGGTTTTATAACTCTGGCCAATAAGAATCAGATGGTGAGAACCCAAATTCCCCCTTGTTGAGTTCATTTCTGTAGATTTGGGATTTTCGGTCGAGATGATAATTGAAAGGCTAAAATATCAGAAAACCTCGTTAACTTTAGATGATTAACAGAAAACGCCCCGTAACTTTGAAAATATAAAAAAATACCCATAAAGTATAGGGATTATCAGAAAACTGCCCTTTAATTTTAAGATTTTTTCGGAAATCTCATTTAACTTTGACATTTTATCAGAGACTCCTATAATTTAAGGAGAGTTTTCTGATAAAATCTTAAAGTTAGCAGAGCTTTCTAATAACCCTTAAACTTAACCGGAGTTTCTGATATTTTCAAAATTAGGAGGGGTTGTCTGATGATCGTTCAAAGTTAAGAGGGGTTTTGGAATATTCAGCCTAATTAAAAGGCAGAGATTTGTACGGATGAAAAATTTCAGTCGATGGATTTTTTTAGATGGAACTTGTGTGGTTGAGTTAGGGGTTAGTATTGAAGGAACTCGTGGCTTCTTCTCCTTTTGTTCATTGTCTCCTCCGCCTCCTAATGCCACCTCTGATCCCTAATCCCCTCAGATACGAATCTGGATCTTCTCCACTACAAAAAAGTAATGAATACACCACTATTTTTAATCTCAATCGTTGATTACTTAATAGGCGGTTATGATACAATCTAAATCTAATACTTACCACACCCTTGTGTATTGCACTCATTCTTAATTTGCACTAAAAGAAAAAATCACAACTATCAATTAGATAATCAATGGTTGTGATTATGTAATGGTTCATCTACTACTTTTTAGATAGTGGAGAGGGTCTGAATCCCTCAGATACACCTCCCCCTCCTTTTCCCTCCACTACCGCTCCTCCTTCGACGACTCCTCCTCCGCCCCCAATACCAAATTCACCATCTTCTTCAACCCCTCCTCCATCTTCTTCGGCCCCACCATTAACTACTACTTCTATACTATTATTTAAGAAAAGCCACACTTTTAATTTATGTGTTAAATTTTCATAAGCTCTAGGAATACGCTTCCATTTTGAAATCAAAATAAACGCCTTCACAGTTGCCAAAAATAACAAAATGCTCTCACCACTGTAAAAATCAAACCGAAATGGCTTCAATTTTTTTGTGTTATGCACGCATGGTATGCACAAAAAAATTAGTTTTTAAATTAAAAGAAGGATGAAAAAGAGAATGGCTTCATTATAAATTATAAATTAAAAACAATAAAAGGGTAGAAATGTTCAAAACCAGCCATATGAGACTTACATGGGAATTCAATGGAGAATATTACCTTTTTAATGTAATAGATAGAAGGTACAAACATGCAACCATTGACTTTATGGTATTTTTTTACACCAAAATACAACTTGTAGTATTTAAGTACAACGAGCAAGAAACTATATGGCGCTTAAGTGCAATTTAGCCTTAGAATATTATTCCAAGCTAAATAGGTATGCGTATGTAAGTATGTAACCGTCATATAGAATGGAGAAGAAAACTAGAATATTTAAAAATAATAATTTAATGTATTTTTTATTTGGAGGAATTTATTGTATTTAAACATCACACTTTGTTCAAAACCAGTATATCTTCAAATGCTTCAATTAAAACCACAACGCTTTATGTTAGAATATAAAAATACAATTCTGGACTGTGAGTTGTCACCGTAACTTTGAAATTTTTGTATAATAGTTAGAGAGACTTGAAGATGCTATCAGAGCAACTCAGATTCTAAACCCCATCAGTCACAAATTTATAGCGGGTTTTCTAAAAAATAACACTACCATGCGTGACAATGCCATCCACCGATCAGTTTGAGCTTTGGTACGTTGAATGTTGATGTGGGGCCATAAAAAACTCATTTTTGATTGGTGAAAGCGCTCCCAGAATTCTTGGGTAGCTCTCGATATTGCTTGTTAGCCCGCTTGCTTTTCCTCCAT